GCCCCTTCAGTGTAGTAAACACTGGTATCAACGGGGGTCCTGTTACCCACCCAACCCACCCCAGGGGAGGACATCCATCACACAGTAATCTCGTGCGTGGGAAATTAACGTCTCCTGCCCCTAACCCTGCAGGAGACGGGACCTCCATTTATTCGTCCCTATCCGAGAAGACTAGAATATCTAACCAATTCTTGATGTTAAAGAAAGGAAGCATATTCTTCTCAGTTAATTTTAAGACCCTGAGTGTTGGTCCGGCCGGTATTGAACTCTCGACCTCCCGCACAGCAGTCCGGCGCTCTAGAGTCATACAGTCTATATAGTCAACTCGATCAGTGTTTTAACAAATTTTGTCGCAAAGAACACCAACACGTCGTATCAAGCACACAAGGAATACAAATTGCAAAGTTTAGACGTTTTCAGGAGCAGCCGTTTTGATCGAGCGGTGACATAAAGTGACGGTGCAGATGTCAAACTTACAGAGGCCGCAGAATGGAGAAAACGGAAAAACAGACTGAAACTCTGGACTCATAGGAACAGCTAAGAATATGATATTTGATTTAACCTTATTATATTTACATTAAATTGCTTAAGCATCAGAGTCGTGTTAACTTTTATTATGTCAATGTCTTGATGGTCACATTTACACAACAGGATAGCGTGATTTTTTTTTCTTTCTGAGCAAAGGCACATACTAAAATTTATCGTTGTTTTTCGCCCACCGTTTTACGCAACACGGGACAACCATAAGCTTTTGACCTCTCTTGAATACTGGAATTAATCTAATCTTTATGAAATCACGGTGATTAGACAATGACAAATTTTACAACAACTTGGAACTGTGATAGCTTTCTCTAGCGCAGTTTTTTTGATACGCGAGTCGAGTGAATCATGACCTATTTTGAATCTGTTCGGTGTCGCCAAATCGATCGGTGTCGCCAAAAATTGAAAGCGAAACGTTTTCGTTTTCTCGGAAGCAAATAATTTTTTTAAGGAAAAAACTGCACAGCAATTGTCTACTTTATAAAGCTACTTGTATGCAAAAGAACAGCGAATTTTAGTTTTTTAACTTTGCCATGCAATGTTTAATTTTTGCACGGATTTGCTCTTAATTACTCAGTGAAGAACATTTATTTTCAAGTGCAACATCCATAGAAAGGTATTCAATTTATGTGGCTGGGATAATCGAGCAATGAGCAATTTTGCATCCCCTTACCTACCCGAGTGCCAGGATTTCTTTAAGTACAGTTGTCGTGCACTCGGCCCACTCGGCCGTTGAAAGGTTTGTGCAGCTACGCTCAATGTCCTTTGACTTTTCCACAGCCACTATTAATGGCTGTCGAAAAGTAGCGTCAAAGACGCTTCGATGTAGTCCTCATACAGAGTGAAAAACCAAAATTCCGGTTACGGAAGTGTTGTGGAAACCTTAGAGAGCCAGTTCCTGTCTTTCACCATGGCAAAGAAGCATCCAGCAATGAAATAGCTCTTTCGGCTGCAGCAGAAGATGGCTGCCACTAAGCCATACGTCTCGTCAGTTTTTCCCGACTTGGTAGATCTCTCTCGTGCCTCATCCACCATTCTAGGGCATCTTCATCGTTGTCACTTCCACCTGATACTGTTATTGATCTTGGCAACACTACGATCAGATCATCCATATCTTCTTTTTCCACAAAAGGTAAAGTTTCCCATTTCGCAGACATCCGCAGAGGCTGGTAGGAGATCATTTACTATACCGGAATGGCAGTGTTGAGCAACTTTGAAGGACGCTATTTCGTTTGATAAATGCAGTTTGTAGCAAACTTAATAGGAGGTAACGTAACAGAAACCTGGCTGGACACACCGCAATGCGTATGTGTTGCATACAACTGTTGGACTCAGAGCCCGTTTCTCGAAAGTCCCGGTAACTTAACGGGCCCGAAGTCATGTTTTAAAATCAAGATTTAAAAAATAGGAAAGCAGGTTGTGGCACTTAAACCAGTCCCTTTTGTTTCTTTAGCTGATAATTTTTATCTATCGTTTTCAAACTTTTTAAATCCCCATCTTGAATGCAAACAAAACAGCTTCACGGCCCCGTTCAGTTAGCGGGACTTTCCAGAAACGGGCCCCAGAGTCGAATTGTCCTTGGTGTCTGCACAGTCGACCGATAGTCGTCTCCCATTCAACTGCGGTTAAATCTTACTTTTTATGCTGCAAATACATTGCGTTTTCGAAGATCATTCTGACTTTATTGCGAATCCAATTGCTCGTATTTTCAAAGAAAATGTAGACATGTAAATATAATACCGCTGTTTGTAGTAACGTCTGATGCAAATTTATGCAAGATACTTGGTGTAACAAAGGTTATCTCAGTTGAACTTCGCTTTCTTGTATGGCTAATTTGTTTAAATGGTTGATCGTTTGGTTTATTCCCGAAAAAATTCAGTATTGGATCACCTGAATCGAGGGATTCATTAATTCTGTTTTGTTCTTCTTATTATTATTATTTCACTGTCGCTCACAATCTTGTCAGGGTGAAGTCTTACCAGCAGAGCCCCGTTTGAAACAATGGAGACCAAGATCACTAAACTTTTCCTCTTTTTGAAGTAGGCTGTTTCCGGTGTTGTGGGCTTGCACTGAAACGGTGTTCATGGCTACCCCTATTAAAGTACAAGTGACAATTCATTTTAGACTTCTTCCCAACATAATCAAACCGGACAGTAGAATAGAAATTAGATAGAATAGTGGATAGGTGAGACTGAGATGCCTAGTGAAAAGCGTACCTGCTGAGCAGATGGCGCCAAAGACTCTAGGTGTGTTCTGTCAGGTCGTTTTTATTCTATCAGTACTATCTGCTCCAATTTTAATAACAACGTACAGTTTCATTCCTCCACCTCTGACTGACATACTCTGAACCTTTTACTCTGATTCTAACGGGCTGGCGGACTCTGAATGACTGACTAATTATTCTGAAGCACATGCTTTTATAGTCACTATCGATACGCATAAGTAGACATGTTGGCCAATTGACCTTAGACGATCAAACGACGTTTGTATCAAAAAAATTATTAAGCCCTACTCTTTGACAAGGATCTCGCGAATACCATGACAATACCGTACCTGTTGCTTTAGATTAAAGGACCATTCTTTGCCTCCTAAAGCTGAAGCAAGAACCCAAGATGAAAATCATTCCTAATTTGAACTACACAACAAAAGGTGTACTGTATACACATTGTGTCACGTGTTTCGCTGAAACATATGAAGGCTTCGCACGTTTTCATTGTCACGAAGCACTGAGGGTCAATACCTGTGGTTTTGTTAAACAGTTATTATTGAAGCTTTCTCTGCGATGTATTGCATTACCTGATATTACCCGAAGATTAGGGTGACAGAATGATTCACTGCTGATTTGCAAAGAGTGTATGAAATACGGTTTACTCTAGTTTTTAAATGGTCCTTAGATGACAAAGAACATAAAGACCTTTTTGGTTTTAAGTCTTCGAAAGATTATCTTAACAAACAGTAGGTATCTATCATTAACCATCGGTCAAACACATGTCTATTGCCATCAGAATTACGTTCTCGTCTAATGGGCAAGGCTATTCTGCCGGAACCAGTTCTACAACTTCCATTTCTATTTCAGTTCTATCTAATGATAGACGGGCTTGTAGAATTTTACAGTATAGGTCATCTGTTTTTTCCATATTTGATTCTGTTGGCGCTTTTGCATTTGACTGTTACATTCGAATTGACGACAATGACTATGCTCACTGACAGATTTTCAACATATCTATTGCATGTTATTTTCCTTAGAGTAGACCCAGAGCTAGAGGGGAAACTCCGTATGATCTTAGTGTTATTTTAAACTGGAACATTGTTTTGAATTCACCAGGTGCTGATACCCTATGGAATCCTGAAAGATTGCAGTTCAGCCACTACTAAACGTTTTAAACGTCGTGGAAGATTGTCTGGTACAGAGCTACTTTAAAGATTCACCAACAGTCTGAGAATGTGACCTTTCAGTTCGTAAAATATCTGGCGTGAAATCAAACAATTTAGACAATTACATGTCGCGCCCCCCTCACCCAGTTTTCTTTTCTTTTTTTTTCTTTTGTCCCTTCACTGGATGAACATCTGCAATAAATTTTTGGCTGTAGCCTTTTGAAGACAAGTCCTTGTCGTAATGTTACAATCGCAAAACTTTGATAACGCTGGGTTATAGAGTGAGGGAGATATTATTGCTGATATCCAGATCTTACATCAAGCAATGATCGGTCTACATCACTTAAAATATAGGAGTTAGACTGAAGATAAAGTTTGCTCAGCATTAATTTGATCACTCATAATAAATAATGATAAAATCAAAATCATTTCATTTGCATGATATTCAACGTGGCTGATAGTCTGACAGTTTTGATCTTGTTTCCTTTCAATGTACTAGTGAATACATTGCCCACTACAGTGTGCGACCTCCTTATAATGCACATCAAAAGTAATAGTTCAGCGGTTAATTCATATTGAACAGGTATAAATGTAAATTAATAGTCCTCATTCATTCCTCCGAAATGCTAAAAATGTTCGCATCGTTCGTGCCATGTTTATACCTTGGCGTTTACCCCGTGCCAAACAAGTCGTGGTGACTTGCAGCATTTAAATTTGTGTACAGTATGTTAACTCCATTTTAAGGTTATGTTTTATCCTCTTCCCCAGAAAATACTGAAAATAAAATGTTTAACCAAAGCTTGCTTATGTGTAGTCAGCGAATCTCTGAATATCTTAAGTATGAAATTGAATGCACAATAATTATAAAAAGTGTTTTGCCGACGGAAGAATAATGTTTGAATTTTTTTTATTTTTTTTTATTTTTTTATTATTATTTGTGGGAGATATCTCTGTAGCAAACATGTGCAGAAACTTCGGACGGCTGAAAATCCCGCCCGGTGCTCGTTGCCATATATAGCACTACCTATTCACGTCCACGATCTTATTCAGTGATCACTCGTTGTAAGTCATGCGCAAAAGAGCTGTTGATTCAAAGGCTTCCGGAAATTCCTGATGACTGCGACTGGTTTTTGATTTCTTTTGTGCCATAGATGACTTAAGAATATTAAATTTAAAATAAGAACGCAGTCGTTAAGGAAGAAAGAGTGTTAGTGGTGGAAAAATAAGCAGCTAAGGTAAGTGCGCTTTGATAATTCGAGCCTCCCACTGGTGACTTGTTTCGATCAAATTTGAAGTGATATGATATCTATATATCTTATTGGACGTTTGTTGTGTAGTATCGCTGAGTATTTTTACGAGTTGTGCCGTATTTTGACTCGCCCTACGGGCGAGTCAAAATACAAAATTGTTATTTCAGTTTTATTTACGGGGAGTGCGTGACAGAAGTATGCGAAACGGAACGGAATTGGCGCGTTGTCGTGTTGCTGTTTCTATTTTCTTCAATAAATGAAGAAATTTCCAGGTCGTCTAGCTGTTTTTCTTCGTTCGATTCATGTAATAAACTTAGATGTATATTTGCCAGCCATTCTGACTCTTCGTCGTCGGAAATATGATTCAAATTGTCAGCCATTCTTTTTCGTAACTACAATTCAATTCTTCGCTTGCGCGATGCGAGAAAACCTGTCTAACCGGTACTCTAGAGTACAAATACCGCGTGATATTTGTACTCGTCTATGGCGTTATTTGTACTCTACGAAGCGTAGGTGGATAATAACGGCATTTATTCGATTAAAGCGCAGAATCTATTACCCCATTCACATCAGCAGAACTTGTTTAGTTAACTGAATGAAAACCAGATGGCAGATAACTGAGAGAATGAATTTTTCAAAGGATTCTATTGAAGTGCTTCATTTGAAGTCGACAAACATCAGTTTAAACGGCTTTCATGGAAACAATTCAGAATAGCTTTTGGTGTTAATGGGGAAGTGTCTTAGTAACTTAACCTAATATATCAGCTAAATCAGCTGATATACTTTTCTATGAATGTGCGCTGTAGCCTCTTGAACATTTGCTTAATTAATCATCAATCCTGAAACAGCCGTTCAGCTGGCGGGAGGCTGGTTTGCGCAGATTTATTCATAACTGCTGTCCTTGTCTTTTTTGATATTTCATATCACGGTAACTATAATATGGAATCACATAATTATAAGCAGATATATGTTACTGATAATCGTAACTTATCGACATACTCAGCTAGTAAATAAGATGCCTAAGTATAACAAAATCTCTCGAACGCCACAGACTCAATATTCAGCTCAATAACAAGCGATGCATGTCATGTTTGCTTTCAAACACAGTACATCAAGCGATACTCTGTCTGCATTAATTAAAATATACGAAGGAGTAAAAGCATCACTGTGTTGAGATGAGCACGAGCCTAGCAAATCAGTTGGTTCAATTCGAAGTAATATTCAATATGTTTTATTTGATATTTTACTTCCACCACCACGCCTCTTATGCAAATTTGTAAAGTATATCAACGATGGTAACGAATATTGTAGTCAATAAAATCCCCTGATGAGTGAACAATCGCGAAACAGGCTTGTAAGGCTAAAAACGTAGTCGTCGTATTTTTCTACTCAACATATATTGCGCTCTACTTTTATGTATATATATATATATATATATATATATACAAAATATTACATATATATATATATGTAACCGATTAGATTGCTTCTCATCAAAGAAAGACGATTTTTATTCAGTGAGTTTGCGCTGAGTAAATCTCACTACCGATGTAATAAACATATAAATGTTTGACTTATAAATGTTTATAAATATATATGTATATACACACACACACATATATATATACATACATACATAAATGTATACACATATATACATGTATTTGATTTCCTGATCAAAATTGTTCTTCATAATTATTTTCTCTGTATAGAACTATCTGAAGTAAATGGCTTCCTCGGTGGAAGAGAGACTAGAGAAAAATCTGGAATGTGGAATTTGCTTGGAATCATTTCAGGAGCCAAAAGTGTTGCGTTGTCAACACACTTATTGTAGAAAATGCCTTGAACGAATTATCTTTAGGGCTACTGGCGAGCGTATGCAGAAAATCACGTGTCCTGAGTGCCGAATGGAAACAAAGGTGAGATATAGTGTATGTATGTATGTTTAACACCTGGTCGGGGGGAGGGGTTGGGGGGGAATATTTGAATATTTTCGGTGAATATTGAACTGAGTAAACATCTACACGAATATCGAGACCTGAGATTAACGACGTTTAAGGTGATTCCTCAGTATTGCTCTGTGCATGCTCTACTGTACATGAATAAGGCGAGTAAAGGTGCTTATATTCCGCGGGCATGGTATTGTTTCTCAATAAATAGACGAAGTGACAGTTACGATGGTCTTTGGCTCCTGAACGAGGTACAGTGACTTATTGCATCATCCCGGTGTACAAATAATCCCCCTTAAATTAGGAAAATTATTAAAAAAAAAAAATTCAGAATAAAAAAAAGTTAGAGTTAAAAGTGGGCACGAACCCGTTGCTCAAGGATGCAAAAATGACCTCGGGAACAACGACTCAATGAACATTTTAACTCGATATCGCTTAAAATTGCGTGATTTTTCCATAAATCAAATCTTATATTGTTGTACATGCTCGAGACTTGCATCGGCTGCCGCAAAATTTCTCGTTAACTGATGAAATAGCGCGCGTGGTTAGTACTAGTAAAGGCATAAATGGGGCAAGATTAGCCCAATCGTGTCTTGACAAAACACGGTGACCCCACAGTAATTCTCGAAACAGGTATTGCTTGGCAACAGTTAAGAAAAGCTGCCTCCCATTTAGACGGCTCTAAAGATGCGATTATCTCAGGAATGCAGTGGCACATGTAATAAAATTTAAGCCTTTTTTTTCTAGCTCCAACGAGGTTGCGTCGCAAATCTTCCTTCCAATTTTCTGCTCAAGCAGCTCTTGGAAGTTAACAATGACGCCCAACTCAGTACGCAAGTTAATTGTGAGAAACACCCTGAAGAGCCAGTAGATCTTTATTGCGATTGTGGCGAACCGATATGCAGAGCCTGTACAGTGATATATCATCGTTCCCACTCGAATCAACCTTTGAAAACGGTATTTGCTCTTGAGAAGAAAAAGATAGCAACACTTTTAAAACAAGCAAAACCGCAAGTGTCCGCTCTTAAAGCAGAAATTGCTTCCATCGAGGGTATCGAAGAAGAATTTCAACAAAACTGCTTAGATGTTAACGAACTAATTGACAGCGTCATAAATGCCAAAATTGCTCAGTTGGAGACTGCAAGGGAAGGATTAAAGAGAGATGTGGGAGAAATATCCGCATCAAAGATCGGTAGCCTGAAAAAACGAAGGGATGCTCTCATTTTGCTGGTGAGTAGAGTGGAGAATGTCAAAGACATTGTCACCGACTGTAGTCGTAGCGGGGAGAAGAAAGTAGAATTCTTGCGTAAGAGAAGCCAGTTCGTGAAGCATCTAAATGATCTACGTTCAACTTCCCATGATATTCGGCCTTGTGAAAAAGTTACCATCCAGCTTAAGAGAATCCACCCCCTGGCGATATATCCTAACGCATGGGGCGACCTGCGGAATCAGGGAACAATTACAGTTAACGAACGTGGAAAGCCTGTTCAACCATCTCTTTTTGAGGTATTAAATAACTGGACGATGTTTGCTTTGATTATATTCATGGTGGGCCTAACTGTCGGGTCTTTTGGACAGAAAAAATGAATAAGAGTTACACGAATTTGCATCATGAGGATTATTCCTACAATACTACGAGGGTTAGCTTCGATTTCTAATTTCGAAACACATATTTAGACTCGTGAATCTCAATTAACGTTGGAGTACAAATGATTTATCCTTTACTCACCGGAGTAAGCGTGCCCAAATAGACCAACACGACAACTTCAAACAAAGAGCAAATGCATGAAGGCGATTTACTAGAAGGAACTTCAACGAATTTTTACACCAATTCATGTGGAAATTTCATGAAAGTCCACGCCAAGTTAAACAAAAACCCTCAAGGTAACCTTCTCTTCCATGTAAACTCATCTTAGAATGCAAACATTTCAAAACCTAGTAACCAAACGCGTCTTTTGAAATTTAGAAAACGGTTCTGTAATTTATATGTGCCGAACCAACTTTGGATGCCAAAGTTAAATGATGAACCAAGAAAACGCAAACCTGGTGTAAGAAATCTGAAAACGGACGTCAAGAGTGAAGATATTTTAACTACAAAGCGAGATTTTCCACAAAGTTTTGGCAGTCATCTAAATAGACCTGTTTAGCCTGAATATTTTTTTCTCCCGATGGGGTTCTCAAAGAAATCCCCTACCCCCTCTTTCTGTCTTTTATGAATTATGCATACATAAGCACTTGGTAGGACGAAACTTGAAAGAAAGTGCTCCCAAGAGTATTCAGCTAAAGAAGTCCCGAGGGAGAAACAGATAGGTACCCTCCCCCTTCCGCTCTGTTTCGGCATGTTTCAATATCTTGATATTTTTTTATCATAAGTGGAGAGCAGAAGAATTGTGATAGAGCCACAATCAACATTGAGATCAAAGTCTTGATAGGCATATTTTTTCCTTACTGAATGGTATTGATTGATTGGTACCGGCTTTACTTTTTCTGACCATAGTACAATTAATTCTACAAGTGAGCCCTGATCCATTGCATAACGCAATTTAAGCGAATGAGTTGATTACTTTATCTATGTATCTATCTTTCTTCATTTTCGTTGATTGTGCCTTTGTTTTATCTTATCTTATCTGCAAAATATAACTATATAAATATGTAAATTATCTCGCGAAGTGAACAGTGTGATTCAATTTACGTCTCTGTTAACCTAACTTCCATGACAGGAAGGAAACTGCGTGCTCTGTAAATACCTCCCGTTAAGCCTCAGACACTCTTAAAAAAGCTTTCGTAAGGATTTAAGAGGGATAATGGAATTTACTTACACATCAAGCGGTCATAAAAAAAAAAACATTCTAAAGGTATTAAAATTTATACAAATTTTGATATTGCGTTTCTAAGGTCCAATTTCAAGTCCTTTGAGCATACCCAGAGTAGAGCCTTTCTTTGTGTTTGCACATCGTTAATCTTTGTAAACTACTCGCAAGAAAAGAAATAACTCAGCGATTTCATGCCAGTTAGTTTTATGTTGCATGTAATGGTAATGAAATCGCTATTATCACAGTTGGATTTTTCCGATGTAAGGAATGACCTGTAAAACAGCGGAGATAATGTTGAAGACTGTAAAGTAAAATGTTCATCAATTGTTATTAATTTGCAAAAATTGCACGTTGTAATGAAAATAAATAACCCATTATATTTTTGTGGATATTGTTATTGCAATTTTTCCTTTCCAAGGCCATTTTTTGGAGGGTATCATTTGTATGGAAATGAATTACGTTCACCTCTATCGATGTCTTACAATCCTTTTAACAATGTACCTTTCTTTACTTTCTAAGTAATTTTGACTATTTACCTATTAATGTAGTAGTAAATGAACCAATTACCGCATTAACTGTATGGTAAAGTATATATTTATGCAATTACTAGCCCTTTGATCCCTAAGAGCTCTATATACACCCTACTTACACAATCTAAATGGCTAACACCCATATAATCTAAATTTAGATCAGTGGGTTCAAGCCGTGTCAAATGATCATCTAAGTCTTCCCAGTAGCTTATTAAATATGCATAAAGATTTCGACCAATCAAATCCCTCACTCATCGGTGAACAAGCCAAGGTGATCGCTGCGAAANTATCATTGTCCGACGATGGCATAACAGCAATAATGAATGGTGTATAAAAGTTTTCATGGCATTAGCAGAAATACAATGGCGCTTCTATATCTTCCTCTTCAAAAATAATGGTCATTTCCTTAATCACACACCATTGATTGCCACGGAAAATATGTGATAAATGAAATGCCTTCGAAAAACCAAGATCTTTCCAAAAGTACCTGTCCATCAAAAATTAAGACTGTCATATGGGTTCATTGACCTAACAGTTGGTACGTGCATAACGTTGTAATTATTTTTCAAAAGTTTTCAGCCTTGAGCCAAAAATACACTCTCTCTTTCTGTATTTTTTGTGATTGGGACATTGGAGGCACGTCACTCCAATCACTTTTCATCGGGAACTCTGGGAGGATACTGATAAATATTTGGAAAACCTCTTTGAATTAACATTCCGTATCGGGGATATATATTACACCTGCTGAAATTTAAACAGGTTGTTTCCTTTGCCGTAAACCAGTTTCCACTTTAAACAAAGATGAATTCTTCGGTATATTTCAAGATAGCAGCCACAACTTTCCCTTTTATTATTTCTATCCTATTCGGAAGCACAGCGATATCAGTTTTCGCTTGTTCTGGTGAGTTTGAATCTAAATGTTGCAAATGATTGCTGTTCTGTGTAGTTTCTTATTTTTCATTAATTTCTTTACTTTCAATAATCTAAAAAGAATGTGATAAGGCGTTCCACTCATAACTGGAAAAATATCACTTCCGAGGTTCTTAGGACTTTCAAAATCACTCAAGGCGGAAATACTATGATTATCTTCCTGCGTTCAGGAGACTGATTGTCTCAACCAATCCTTGATGATTGATGATAGACTTTTTAATGCGTGAACCTTTTAGTTCTTTTTTCACTGAAGACAATTCCGACCTCATTTTACTCCCCGTTTTCTCTACACCAGGATGCAAACTTCTGGACAAAGTTGTTGGAGCAACCTTGGTAGAACAGTCTTAACAGTGCATATTTTCGTGAATCTTCCAATAATCGATAATTACTCTTAAGGCCAATTTAAAGTTTTACGACACACATGAATAATATGTTTCAAATTAAGACTGCAAAAAGCAAAGAAGAGCCCCTCAGTGACATCTCTGACGACGACAGAATTTAATTCACACAATTCAACAAATGGATGTAGAAAACGTATTACTGAAAATTTGTTTATCCAACAAAGACCTGTCAAATGCGTTAATAAGGGTTTAGAAAAACGCAGAAGCTCAAAGCTAGACGAAAAGATGACGGTTTCCAATGGAACTTTTTTCAAATTTTGTCTCCAGTCATTTGGCAGAATCCTCTTCAGTATCAGTCACGAGAACTATGTACGTATAAGTCATAAGACTTTCTTTCAAATAGGATCTTCATATCACGATAAAAACGGTTTCTACTTTAAAGACTGACAAATTCTCAAAAACAATCTTTGCGACGCAAATGCGTCGGTTAAAGCCCGTCTGCCTTGATGTGAAGAATATTGGGCGCGATGGAAAGAAAACCACTGTATCGATTCCGCTGAGAGTGGATCTTGGTAAGCAGCCTCATAAGAGTACGGAGGAAAATAGTCAGGACACCAACAGTCTAGTAGAACAAGATGTCCCTCTTGACGATGTCGACAAGCAGGAACTCTCAACTCAACAGCAAAATCGTGTTTTGAGTATCTCTGCTAACTGGGAAAAGGTACGGGAAAAGTTGCTGAACTCATACATCGAAGAACAGCATCTTCCAGACAAGATAAACTGTGTGAACTGTCAAAAGAGTATCGCTACAACACGATGTGAATACTGTGGCCCTCGCCAGTACTTCTGTGTTGAATGTGCACGAGCTCTACATGTCAATCGAAACAAGTTTCATGTACTTGAGCAATGGAAGGTGTGAATGAATATTTTGGGGGCGGTTGGTTAAACTGTACTTTTATCTACTTCTTACTTTCTCTATTTTAATAGGATGGGGTATTTTCTCCTTTGTATGCAGATGAGGCAACTGTTAGCTACGGCCATACGTGCAGAACCGCAACAGTAAAGCTGTTCAGACTTCTGGATGCCTCAGGTCAGTTCATTTCATTTATAGTGGTTATAAAATACTAGAAAGGTTTTAAATCGAAGCGTTCTTTTTCAATTTAATTTGTTCCTTTGTCACACTTTCCTGCCGCTTGCCTAAAATCAAGAACGCTGATGATAATGATACGATATTTAAATTCTCTCAATACGTCAGGGCCAATAATTGGCTGTCCAAAAATTTCTAAGTATTGGACCGGGTAATGTCCTGAATGATCCCACATGCAATTAAGTTCTGTAATGATATGGCTTGCCATTAAGTCCAAAGAGAAACAATAAACTTGGCTTGCATCTATCTGTAAGAGCCTTTTCTGACGTGCTGGGAGAACATTGGCCCTTGGACTTTTCTGTACCGACCTCGCTGCACTTGGTTTGTACTTTCAAGACCTCGGTCCAATATTCTCCTAGTATGGCCCTCGCGGTTGGTTAATAAGGTGTCTACATGGCCCTCAACAAAGTAAGAGGTATGTAAAGCTGTATGTAATTTTTTTTTTTCGTTTTGTTTAATTAACTGCATAGGTTGTTCATTTATTTTTTTAATGAATGTCAGGAAATCATCACCTCAAATATGTACAAGTGTGTGATTGTGAGCCGCATGCTGTCACACTCTTGAAATGTCAGTTCTGGTCAGGGTCACCAACAAATCCCACCACAGGATTCAGCTTCAAACTGATGGAGTTTGTGGAGAAGGTCTCTCTTCATTGTCAAGTGTCCCTGCTAAACATCACAGAAGTGATCACAGAACTCAATCCTCAGCTACAACCAACACATGTAGGTTTGCTTGCAAAGAATCTTTTTCAGACATATGACCAGACTTTTTTTAATTGATTGATTTTGGTTGGACGGTATGTTTTTTTTTAGGTGAGCTCAATTTACAGTATCCTTAATTCAGAATGCTTTGAAGAATTCAGGTATGTGTGGTTATAGGTTGAGAGTATCAAAGCTGCTAATTTGTGGACGTACAAGGTCTACTAAGGTATTATTGATATTAGAATTAATATAATTATTACTACTATTATTATTGTTGTTGTTCTTGTTATATTATTATTATTATTATTAATTATTATTNGAGATAAGAAATAGAAGAAAATTTGTTAGAGTGGATATTTGATAGCCGTGTCTCAAGAAAAATTATCATGCTTAAAGCTGCAAAGTTCCAGGAAGAAAAGGAGAAAGAAGATCTCAACATTACCAAATTGACATTTAGCCAAGGCTGGCTTGAGAAGTTCATGAGTAGAAAAGGAATGAGTGTGAAGTGTCGCACAACTGAAGCCCAGAAAAGCCAAGATTAATTGATTGACAAGCTCTGTGCGTATATCCTGAAATTAAGACAACTCCGTATGAAGATGAACTATGAGTTGAAAAATATCTTTGCCATGGATGAGACAGCCGTGTGGAATGACATGATGTCCAACACAACAGTGGAGAAACGTAGTGCTCACTCAGTAAACCTGAAGTTGAAACTCAGTACGTAGGCCCTGAACCATTGAAAATATCTTTTGGTCAGAACTGATCAATTTCTAATTTCTGCTTTGGTATTCATCTTCTCATCATGAGAAGATGAATACCAAAGCGGTTAAGTACGGGTGTGTAAACAGCGCATGGAAATATGAAAGGGCTGTCACGGCAGCAAATGATTGAATGGGTACTACTGTAGAAACCTGGAAAAGTTACCCGCAGAGGTCATTAAGATGTCATTTAAGGTTTGCGCATTATCGTCTTACCTTCATGGGTCGGAGGATGATCAAATAACGTGTATCAAGCATGGTCCATGCCAAAGTCTATTACCTACATTGCAAGCGTTTCCCCAAGAGGAGGAAGAGACCGATCCTTTCGAGTACACTACTGTTTCAGAAGAAGAGATGGCTCAAGAAGACGTCGCACACCTTATTTTGGACGAGGATGATGAGAATGAAGAGGAGGAAATCCTTGACTTTGACATTGAATCTTGACCATAAAGTTTCTAAGTTTTCAATTTCACTCTCCGCTGTTTTGTTTAGATTATCAAATTACGAAATACCATAGAATTATAGTATCATAAATTTCAAGGCTGTTCATATAAAATATTTAAAAGCAAAGAGATAAAAAAATGTAAATATAAGAGGAGTTTTGCAGAGATTTTCGTTTGTAAGTTATGTACGACAAATCAATACAAGTAACCATTCTCATAAAAATTACCGATGAACATGAGACCGAAAGCACATTTTTGAAGAATAAGAAATTTTTCTTTGTTACCCTTAGGCTCCCACAAGTGAATTAAATACTTTTGACAGTGACTTTAATTGTACAACACGTAAGTCTACTCTGTCTCACACCACGGTATTTTTGCTACAGGTGATGCATTTTGCTAAATTAAATACTGTGTAAGCCCCCCTCTCTTTTAAGCCCCCTACAAGTGTCTCTATTAAGCCCCTCCTCAAAAGTGATTGAAAAATATAAGCCCCCAGGGAGCTTAATAGAGGATTTACGGTATTAATGCTGTTATTTTAATATTTAATAATTGGTTCCGTGGTAGATGAACTACTTAAAGGGCTTTATAAGGTTGACGTATAAACAGAAGGTGACTAAGTTGGGATCATGACGATTACGTTTGTCATAATTGGCCACAGAATACACTATGACGATTTGGGGTTCTGAGAGGCTAACAGCACTCCAAGTACCACCCCTTTTAGATATTCTCCTTTGCCCA